TTGCCTTCACCCTATGGTGAAGCCAGCGGCAGTTTGCCTTCACCCTGTGTTTTTTGCATGAAAACCATGGCGAAAGCAGCAGCTGGTTGCCTTCACCCTATGGGGAAGCCAGCGGCAGTGTGCCTTCACCCTGTGTTTTTGGCACCAAAACCATGGTGAAGGCAGCGGCTGTTTGCCTTCACCCTATGGTGAAGCCCAGTTTGCCATCACCCTGTGTTTTTGGCACCAAAACCATGGTGAAGGCAGCGGCTGTTTGCCTTCACCCTATGGTGAAGGCAACGGCCGCTTGCCTTCACCTGTGTTTTTTGCACCAAAGCCATGAGAAACGCAGCGGCGGCTTGCCTTCACCCTGTGTTGGCACCTAAACCATTGGTGAAAGCAACTGCCGCTTGCATTCACCCGGTGTTAGTGGCGCCAAAACCATGGTGAACGCTTGCCATCACACGGTACCGCGCCGCCACGGTGCCCAGCAGCCCATGCGCATCAGCAAAGATGCCGCAACCGTGTCCATGCGGTGGTGACTGCAGTGATGGCTCAGAGATCAGGAGGCTCCTAAGATCGGGAATCTGGGGTACAGGATCGGCGTCCGTCGTAAGCCGTGCAAGATATGGTTTGGTGGTGCTTTGCTGCAGGCTGACCTTCAGCGAAGACAGCGGCAAGTGGTGCATTGACGGCTGCTGGGTTCAACTGTAAGGGAATGAATGGTCGCGTAAGGAAATATGGGGGGCATAAACAAAAAGACCGATGTGCAGTTGGGCCCTCCCACGAATACCCTCCTAGCAGCGTGGTCGTTCAAAGCGAGTGTTAATCTGCAGTGTCATTTTGTCCTGATTATGATACAGTTGCTGTTTCCGAGTTTCCCATATTCTTGAATCCGCAGAGAGGGCCTTCTCATGCTGCCTCGCAGGAAATAGCCATCATGGCTTGGGACCCGTATACTTGGGTTGGACAGGACTTTCATGCATCATTAATAAAGCTCGGGGGTTGGCACACTGGGAGATTAGGACGTGTTCATGGTTAAAAGATTCGGTTGTGTTTGGCCAACTCGTCCCAGTGCGTAGGACGAGATGGCAGCTTTCAACTCATCGCGATCTCGTGCTACAGTCGTGGATGCACATGACACATGTGCATAATGCATATTCACATGGGCATACATACATTCATTCCTATGTGCAAGCAGACGTGCGCCTTCATACGGATAGGTAGCCAGCCTCCGACAGACATGGTGCCCACGATAGCTTCGCAAAGGTTACAAATCCGAGAAACCTTAGCCCTAGTGCTCTGCTATACTTCTGACACGACGAGGCAGAGATTTGTTCGCTTAGGCGAGTGCTCTGCAGAGGGGGATGACTTCGAACCCATCGGCCACTCGGCGTTGCCACCAGCATGTCTGAATCAGGGCCTGAACACCAAAGCAATACTTGAACTTCTCGTCCCGTAATTCTGGGAGTCGCGACTTGCAGCCTACCCGGGTATGTCGCTGTTCCATGCCTCCGTCCTCATCTCCACAGATGAACCGACAATTCAACTCTCGAGCCCCATGCTCGACCCAGTCCTCCGTCCTTTAAAGGAGTTCACCAAGGACTGCGCATCGGCAAGCTGGAAGCCACTGCTGTGACCGACTTCGATGGAAAGTTCGAGGCTCGAAAAAGGGCATGCACGGGTGTGGCATTCTTGGCGACGTATTGTGTCCTCGCTACGTCGTGTGGGCACTTGAGACGCTTCCCTCTTGCGAAGCTGCCGCCGCCGCAGGCCAAGGGCGTCAGCCCCGCCTCGTCTAAGTCACCGCTGGGCGGTTCGGCCCCACAGGCCTGCCGCCGCTGCCGCTGCCGGCCCGATGCAGTGCTCTTGTTGACGATTGAGGGCTGTGGCTTCAAACAGCTGTTTGTTGGTGCTGGACGTGTTCTGGAGCTGCGCATGATTTCACGAAATCATCTTGCCTTCACCAACATCAGTGACCCAAACAGGGTCATGTTGTCTTCGGGGCTGGGATTCGAGTTCTCCTTGTGACTCCTCACTCACACGCTACTTGGATCCCTTGCACTCGTAGGATCAGCTCCTTGTACACTTTTGCTTCTTCGTGCCAGGTGTCACACGGGGCTTGCTTGCTATGCTAGCTTGGGCCTTGCAACTTACTGGAACTGCCTTAACTTACTGCTGGACAGGCCAGGCCACCGCGTCCACCGAGACGACCCAAGGCCACATCAGTTTTGATGGTTCTTTACTATAATATACTAGAATATACCATGATGTACTTGTTATGCAGCCTTTTTCGACGTCAGCTGGTAACGTCCCTTGTTTGCAGGGCCCCTTCCACGAGCCAACTGTGATGCCGGGGCTTATCCTCCAATCCATGTATGTGTAAGCGAAGTCAATCTGTCCAAAAAGATGATGGATCATTCGAACACCCTTGTTTCTTCGCCATCGCCGGCTCGCGATTTCTCGCAGGCGCCGAAGAAGCCCAAGCTGGAGAAGTTCGAGCCACTTGGAAAGAACAAGCAGAGATCAAGGGAGTCTCCCGAGAACCAACTGTTGAGAAGGGCCGATGCCACTCTCATGTAAGGAGCGGGAGGATAAGAACAAGAGGACAAGCTTACAGCAATCAATGGTTGATACTGCACGGACGGATGACATGGCAAACAGGAATTCCTGATGGGAGGAAGCTTGATTTGCAAACGCCCCGAGTGCCGATAAACTACGGCAGTTGCGCCGCGGGCGTATTCTAGCAGAAGTTTTACAGCGAGCTCCAGTGTAAAAGTTCATGCTTCTGGGGGCAAAAAGGACAGTGTCGTACTGTTGAGCTGTTGCTTGTGTTGGCACGTGGCTCCTGAAAAGAGGGCTCTTCTGACTGGTTGAAGATAATATGCTTTGGCAGTCCGTAGATGTTTGCGGGCGTATTTGAGACCGTGTGTTGAATGACGGACTGAGTTGGACGTAGATCAACCGTTACTTGCTCCAAAAGAGTCCAGTGACTCAACCGATCCTCATGCATGGCACACACACTCTATCGACTTGACCAGTAGTTTGTCCTGATGATTCACTCCAACATGCTGTACCTCACCCAAGATCCGAAGCCACAGTTGTTTTCTGACTAAGCCCACAAGATGAACTGTTGCTTGGGGTTGCCGGCCTCGAGACATTTCAGCGAAATTTCCAGGTTTAGGCTACGATTCTGCAAATGAAGCGCACATGGCTTTTGAAATGGCACTGCCTCGAAGCCTTCGACGGCGCGCCTTCTGCAAAGGATGCCAAAGCGAAGCGCTGAAGCCTCAAACCTAAACCCTGCCACCCAGGGCGGAGATGCCAAAGTATTCCGACAAGTGCGTCGCTTGGCGGAAGCAGCCTACCTCGCTGTGCCCACTTCGTCAGTTCCTGGAAAGTTTTCTGGAATGCGCTTTGTGAGCCGCCGTGGCGACATAAGGTTTTTGCCAAGGTCTCGCAATGGTCTCGATAATTGGTCTCCGGATTTCTCCTTAACGAGCTACGCTGTCTGGGTGTGAATTTGGGGACCAGCTTCTGAACTCTGGCGAGGACTCTCGATCGCTTTTGAAGAAGTGTTCCTGCCTGCAAGGGCCCCTGCAGGCTTTCAGCCTGAAACGCCCAGGTCGGCTATGGAGACCTTTGGAAGAAGCTGCAGGACACGGTTTAGGGTTTAGGGTGAGATGTCAAGTTGTCTTTAAACCTTCGGCCTTTGGGTCGGCAAAGCAGGGGTTGAAAAAAGCCTTCGGCTTTGCCTCCTGGATTCCGGTTCTTGCCGCGCTTATGCAAAGGCAAGACGTAAATGCGGCCCTCACGGCTAAGGTTCAAACAGCCGCTAAAGTGGCGAAGCCGGGTAGTTTGGTGAAGACTCTACTCTGGCATGACCATTCCCAGCTTGTCCACCGCATGCCGTTTGATGGCTTTGACGGGTGCATTCTGCACGGTTTGGATGTGTTTGGACGTTTCATTGGCTCACAGGGTGTGCCGTAGCTGCTTTGCAGCTCAGGCTTGCCTTGAGCCTTGAGGCCTAATCTCACCCTGCACTCTAAACCTTTTAAGAGCATTAGAAACCCACATGACAAAGAAAACCCAAAGGGCCCTACCCCTGCTGTAGTTGCTGTAGCTCTTAGCCCCGAGCCGCAAGGTAGCCACATTTCCTTGGCTCCAAGTCCCAGCCTCCAAGCATAGCATGGCATAGCCATTCCTTCTGCCGATTTCTGCCGTGTCAGGAGACGAAACTTGACGTCACTGGGGAAGAGGTTCCGGAGACTGACGAGATGCTCGACTGCAAGACGCACCAGATTTCGAGCAACCTACTTAAAGCGCTCGTCTACCATATCATCTCGAGTTCTCTTGTCATCTTAGATGTCATCTTCATCTTCAATGTGCGGGGTGGGAGCTTTAGGTGCCGGACGCAGTTTCTGCCTTGCCGCGTGGAGTCTGGGAGAGCCTGTAGGACTCTAGGGTTCGGACATTGGAAGGCTCGGACTTTCGGTCCGAGTGCAAAACTTCGGCCGCTTCCAGGGTGGAGACCGACGAGGAGGCTGCAGCCGGCTTCAAGGCTCCCGGGGCTGCCGGGGCTCCCCGTCTTCGCCGGGTTTGCGGGTTTAGGGTTCTTTCTGCCAGCATCCCCCATGGCTAGGGCGGGAGAGCCGACATTGAGGGTTGAAGCTTTCAGGCTTGAAGCTTTCCAAGCTTGGGCCATGCAGGTTGATGACTGAAAATCCTTGCTGAAGCTTAGAGGGCAGCCCCTCGATGTACGAATGTCGCTCAAGCATCAAAAAACTCTCGAAAGTGCATGTTTTCCAGAGGAGCTTCAGACTGCGTTGTCTTAGTTCTTTGTTGAGATGTCCCGTGGTTGCCCATCATTGGAAGCGTCCCTACTGTACGAACACGTGGACACCAGGAGGCTCACCCTTGTGACCTCGCTGGTGCGAGAAGCGGAGTTCGGAGAACCTGGATGGCAGTACGTAAGCACATGAGCGATTGACATATCCGGTGGTTAGAGAGGGATGTATCAGAAGGCTGGACTGTTCCGAGAGAGTTTGGACGAATCTGTGGATTAGTCTGGACCTGGCTGGACAGGGCCGATTCTGGACGGTTTTTGAGATATTTCCGGCCGGTTTTGGGACAATGTTGGAGGGTCTGTGGATAAGACCGGAAAGATCTTGGACATGCCCGCAAATGCCTTCTGGATGGGTCAGGATGATGCTTTCCCAACCACTCCCCTATCCACCAACCTCTGGCGGCATCATCCATGCATTGTTGAATCGCGTACGTTGTAATTTTAACGTCTTCAGGATACACTTCAAGCAGGATACGTCAGCCACCATTATCCGTTCTCATGGTCGTCATGCTCAGTCCTCACATTCCTGAAGTTATTGCCGATACTTTTCCCCACTGTGTCGTGAGTAATGCCAATTGAAGTCTAAACTTAATTACAAGGCATCAAGCATGCTGACTCTGCCTGTCATGCACGGTTCCTGTTGGATGGATGGGTGGATGGCACGGCCGACAGGGCACTGTGGTCAAAGGGAGCCTTCCCTGCCGCCTTCTCCGGGAACCTCCGTAAGCGTCGGTTGATGTTGCTTTGAGGAAACTGCAGCATGCAGGCTTCAAGACTGGGCATCGTCATCCCAAGGCTAAAGGTCCAGTTTTTTTCGAGGGACATCCCGAGCACCCAGGGGGTGAGCCAGGAACCATTACTTTTCTTGGGGGTGGCCTGGGTTTCACGACAGGGCCTCCAAAAGAGTCCCAAGCCCTGCAAAAACCGCGAGCCCTCCTAGGCAAGTGGGCGGGAGGCGATGGCAAGCCGATCCCAAATAACATGGGATATGCAACTCGGCCGAGTGACGCCTTCTGGGACGTACCTAGGACTCCCGATAAGTCCGATAAGTTAGGGCTCGAACAGTGCAAGGGGCATGAGGCAGCAGCAGTAAGCGATGAAGCATCTGTGACAGCAATGAGCAACCAAGCGTCATTAAGCCCCCCCCTCTCTCCCCCCCTTGCCCAACCCCCAGACCTGAAAACCTGCAACAACCCTGCGGTCACCCCTAACGCAGCAAGCAGAAACCTACCCACACAAATGGGAGGCCCAAGCAGCAGACACGTAGTCATTCATGGGAGGCATTGCGACACCGCCCGGGTTACTGACAGCACAGAACTGGGATTATGTACTCCAAAGTGGCCCACGAGGAAGTTTTACTGACATGGCAGAAAACCATCCGACGCTTCTCTACATGTGAAACTGGCTCAGATAATTTCGAGTAATTGGAAACCTTAAGCCGAGAGACATATTCTAGGTGGGGGGGTGGATGATGGAAGCATGGAGATCAGGATTTACGGTATCCCGTTCTGCGATGAACAACACGAACCCAGCACCGATCCGCCACTTGCTAAGAACGAGCTGGAGGGTGCGAGCCTCAACTTTGCCAAGTGCATCGTGATCTGTAGCAGCTCAGAGCCGGGGCTGGCTGCCTTTCCAATTCAGGCTTTCAGGAGGTTGGGTGCAGGGAGAGGTCCCAGGCTTGAGATTTGTTCAAGGGGCGAACCCTCAGAAGCTTCGATGTGTGCTTCTGTGGAAGTGTGCGAGAGTCTCAGCCTGAGCAGAGCCCGCAAGGGCCAGGGCATGAGTTCAGAGCATGAACCGAGTCCACAGACTACGTAAAAACTCGAAGTCGCTTAGAGATTCCGAGCCTTTGGCAGGTTGCTTTGACCGATATGGAAAGACCTCTCACAAGAGCTTCGTCTTGCAATGGAAGGGGGGAGCAATGGTCTGGGGTTGGAGGCAAACTGCCAAGGGCTATGGGTCTGAATATGAGGAGCGAGAGAATGGGGGTGTACTAGGCTAGTTGCTTCAGCCATCCATAACAGGGCGCTTGGTCTTAAGATCGCGCGGGCCGGTTGCCTTCGTTTCTGGCTCTGCAAGTCTGCGTGAGCAATGATTCGTGTTGGGCTTTGGGAGTCCCGCGTGCAGGAGAGATGTTTCTCTACTAGTCTCTGTATGCATAGGATGCCTTTAATTTCGAGTGCAGCTTGCTTGACCGTTCCACACTTTGGGCTCTCCAGTGTTGAACCTCTCCATCGAAAGCATCTGTAACATGAACAGTTTCTGAGGAGGCGCAAGGGCATGTGCCATATGGTTTAGCAAGTTTTAGCATTGGAAAGAGCCGGCCTAAGCTACGGCAGCTGCATCCGAGTTCCAAAGACATCTTGAACCTCCTAAGCCCTAGAAAGACACGGCAGCCCCAAACCATAAACCAGAACGAGCTTTGACACGCTCAGGATTGCGAAGGCTGCGGGAGGGAAGCGGCTGCAACAAAGGGACATATTTGGGGTTTGTAGGAGATAGTGTTAGTACACCTGCTTCGTCGACCGCGAGTGCAAAGAAGTTAGTGCCCTGAGTATATGGAGATGTGGGTAGATATGGATAGGAGTTTAGGGCTTAGGAGGTTCATGTGGGGGTTGTGGGAGTCCGATGGCAAGCAGAGGAGTCACGTGTGCAGCGACCTTATGAAAAACCAAGCCCAAAGCCGAACCACGACCACCCACCTGCCAACCCACCCCCACCCAGAAGCACACCGAAAGAACTTGCCATGACTATATGGGAAGATCCCGAAAATGCCCAAAGCTCATCTCTCATTCAAAGGCTCACCATTCTCAGGCCCCGAAACCACTTTATGAAGCTCTTCTTGAAAAGCCCAAGACCAAGCCTCAAACCCAAAACTGCGAAGAATGTCCGGAAACAGCCCAAGCCAAACGAAGCAACAATGTCCAAAAAACCCAGCAACTGGACCTCGCGGACCTGGTCATTCAGAAGATGGACGTCAGCTTTACCCTGGCATCCACGACACCTGGGCTCAAAGAGCGGAGAGCGTTCTCAGGGGGGTTTCTGAGCTTTTTGAAGGCCTGATGGGCAAGAGGACTAGAATAGAACTTGGGGCTGAAACTGCTCCAGCACGTTTTGATTCTGAGGCGGCCCCACCTGCCTGAATTCAAGATTCCGAAGACTGCTCCCTCAGACTCAGACTTACCTAGTCTTTGTTGGACTGTTTCTCCGAAAGGTGTTACGGGCAGATGCTACGAAGAGCTCAAAAAAAGCCCAGAACCACCGCGTGTCAGGGTCTGCGGCGCGCTTCCGGACACAATGGCAGCACCCTTCGGCATGGGATTCAGCCGCGGCCAAAGCAATGGGACCCTGGTGAGCGGAGAGAGCATGTCCAAGCGCAGATTACCCATAAAACACTGTTGAGCCTGTTGAGCGGAGAGCGGGCCTAGTCGAGCGCAGTCATCTCGCTAGACTTGCATGGACTTGGCCCGGCAGGCTGCCTGGAAAGCGGTAGCCCGGTAGCCTCGCAACAGTGACGTTCTGAACCGCGCCTGGCCGAAAAGAAGGAGCCAGGGCTTAGCGCCGGAGCTTTTTGTCCGAGGCTTCAAGCCCGGAGCGATCTGCGACAAAGGGACGGAAGTCGGCCAGGCTGCCCTCGCCTTCGGCAAGGCGTGGGACCCTTTTTTCCGCCGTCCCGGGGCCCGCTCCCGCTGCAGGGCTGCCAGGGCCCCGCTACAGTAGCGCTTTGTTTGGGACTTGGGATGGGCCCAGCGCCTGAGCGGCAGCTCACGAGAAGGATTTGTGTTTTCAGGCTACCATGTATCCGCTCGAGCTATAGCCTTTTGCTGAAGAATGCTGCACAGCCTTTGGAACAGTTGCGAGTACCGCACATCCTGAACCTCTAGTTCCACAGACCCCGAACTCGGCGATACTCGAGACCTCCTGGAAGGAAGTCGGCGTGCACGACGCTATCCGGAAGATGAGGATTGCCGGTCTGGTGAGAATTGTTCTGTTCTGGCGCGCAAATCGGCGGACGATCGCAGTTATCCAATCTGCCTTCTTTAGCGCCCCGATATCTCGAGAGGGTGAACTGCCAATGAGCCTGACGCGCCGTGACGCGAGAGCTTCGAGTGACAATTCGTACAGTAACCTCCGGAATATATGGAATGGTCAGTGCTCACTGAAGGTCGTTAAAATCCCCATCCTTGTAAGGGTGATCGAGTTCGTGCCCCCCCCCTATCGCCGTCTCGGTGCCAAATTCGCCCAAGGCCACGAGGATTGTAGGGTTACGGGCTGCCACTGTCGTCCTCGGTGAAGGCTGTACTCGAAATATTGACCGGAGCTTAGACTTGGACTGTTGCAATTCTTTCTCGTTTCAGAGCCGAAGCTACATTGACAACTGGAAGTTGGACGCTCACAACAGAAATGGAAGCATTAATCACGCTTGTTTGAATTCTGGCTGGAAGCTGTGTCCGAAGCAACAAAAAGTGAATATGTACTTCCTGATCAAGGAGTCTAGAGAAGAAGTCAATCAATAGTCGAATATGAGCTACGGCCATGACCATGACAAAGGGAAGGAAGTTGATGATCATCGCTATCATCATCATGATTCCGGAGTCCCGCTGTTCAGACTTTCGATCAGTAAGCGGCAGTTTGAACAGGCCTGGATGCAAAAGGCTTTTGGGATCAAGCCGGTTCCGGCCACATCACTTGGCCCTGGCGGCAACAGTAAGAGGCGGTTCGAGGTGAGGCTCAGGCTACGTTGCATGCAAGGTGTGCTAGCATTGTCTCGTTTTTCTTCTGTTAAACCTTATATCTTCTGTGAAAGCTTGACCCCTTTGCAGGGACGCCTCTCGCGGCAAAGACTGCTCGCCGAGCCAAGCGAACTTCGCACGTATCTTCTGCAACTGGGCAGGCCTTTGGGTTCCTAGCATGGAACCAGGTCATACCGGGCTCGTCACCAGACTAGCCTTCCTGTTCTAGCGTTCGCCGTTTATGGCTTCTACCATGATGTATGAGCGGTGATCCGTGCTGGATCTCCTGGTGCTCAGTGTCCGAGGCTTCACTGACACTTCATAGTCTAGTTTGGGCGGTGAACACGGCTACAGCCAGCAAGGCAGTCCCAAGGGTTAGCAAATGGAACCTGTGGGCCTGGACTCGACCCCGAAGTAAACGCTTTAGCAGCTTTGCAGAGCCTTCCCAAACTGTGCACTTCCCTGCAATACGCCGGGGTAGAAAAGAAATCCGTCGCGCCTCCAGAGTGCAAAACATCCCCGACTAAATCGCAGCAGTGGGGGCGCATGTAGCTGGCTCTCCAAGGTGACGTGCACTGCGTGCGGGATGCTGTTGTTCGAGGAGCGGTTGCTCAAATGTCCGGACCGTTTCCGAAAGGGACGCCCAGGGACGGCGGTGCATCATAGTGCTGCGTATCGCGAGCTGAGCATAACACAATTGGCGGGGTAAGATCGCCGTCGCTTCAGGGGACCGGACCATCCTGCGAAACCTGGAAAGAGCCACAGCCGATGCCCCAGCAGGATGTAGGGCGAATTTTGCGGTGGCATAAGAGGATTGTTCGAGGACCTAATCTTGAAGCAAGACTGTGCAACCGTCCGAGTGCCCGCTGCCGGGTTTTCGAAGTTGGAGTCAGCACAGGCTGTGTAGGGTTCAAGCTGTGAGTCCTGATGGATATGCTTACGGTACACGAGAACTGTTGCATTGTCCGCATGGGCATGCGGGCACTGTGCCCAAACCCTGAAACCCATCCGCACAGAGCTGCAAGCCCCGGGTAAACCTGACCTTCGGACATGGACCGAGGGCATCACCAACAGAAACATGGAGAAGTTGGCAGCACCTTGTCCCGGCAACAAAACATTTGAAAGGGAATGCGCGCTGAACGGGTTCAAGCTTGCGCGGATCTTGGAAGTAAGATGAGGGCCTTGGCTATCATCACATACGGAGTACAGGAAAAGAATTGCTGCTTGCCTTGTGGGGTGAGGTAGGAGCATGCATGACATCTTCTGTGACTAGTGAACGATGAACTCGGGGTACCACACAGCTTGCCCCTTCAAGAGTAGCTGGTCAAGATTTTCGACTTGGCGGGCAGGGCCTGGGTCTGAGTTGTTTCAGGTGCCCGAGGCTGAGAGTCTAAATGGAGCTCTCTGGTGCATGCTTGGACTGGGATCTCAGGCCCCTCTCATCCCGGCAAGTCCACCAGGCTTTCACGCAATATCTGTCTGTCAGTTCTACGAGAGGGACTGAGGTAATCTAGGTCTTTGTGAGATCTCCTTGTTTTGGAGCTCCCAGGAAAGGAAGAGTTTTCAGGAAACTCCCAGGAGTTCCAAGGTACTCCTCTGCAAATGATCCCTGTTGCGATTACTCGTGAGCTGCGGTTCCTCTGGTATTACGCAGCCAGTTTCTTCGTCCCGTGAATCCGAAGGGGTCTTTTATGTCCTGTGTAATTGAGCAGCCTTTGCTGCCGAGTGTCTCGGTAAAAGTCTCCATCGTTTTCTCCCAGGTCGAGAAACGCCTTGAATCTCTTTGCAGGGGCTGCAGTGGACTATTCCGACACACAAAACTAAGAGATGCCCCCGAGGCAGAAGCCTCATGAAGTCCCACTCTTGCGCCTGCCGGCTCAACTGAAATTATGTGATGTGCAAGGAGTGGGTGGCGAACACGCAGAGAGCGGATGCGGGCTGGCTTGGAGACAAGATGGACCACCAAACTGAGGTAATGAACTTGGTTTCTCGGCTGCATATTGGGGCGGCCTGGTTTCAAATCATCTGTGTGAGGAGAGAAAGTTGGCATTCCATCCGTGGCACTGGCAGATATGCTCATGAAACCAGCGGAGTGGCTCCTGGCATCAGATTGTCTTTGCTTACCTGCTTGCTGTTTCCCCGACATTGGTAGGATCTTGGGCCCTGGGCCTTCAACAAAAAAGCCATGCAGAATGCAGTTGAAATTGTCACGCCCTGCATCAGCTTAGCAGACTGTCGTTACCCAGAAGCCAACACGTTGTCGCGAACCTCCAAGGCGAATCAGAAGCAGTTCAACGAGCTGAAGGATATGGTAGGCCCGAGCTTTGCTGGCGGCTTGAAGTGGCGAAAGCATCTGAGCGGTTTGTTTCCCAAGTACGTACATAAAGAGACACTTTGCATGGCGCGTGGACCATGCGCAGAAAGTGAAGTTTCTTGCACTCGGGACTTGTCGTTTGCCGTTTCCTGCGGTAGACTTGAACTGTCTATAGCTTTGAACCTTAGAATCAACTTCAGCCAGTATTCGACAGTGACCATGATTTGCACTGGTCGCCGGCATCTACCCACCGTCATGCAAACACCCATGCGCGGGCCCTACAAACCAGAAGACAGGTTCCGAGCATGCCAGGAACTCGTGAGGGTTCTGACTGCAGGATCATGAAAACTGCGTGCGGCCGTGATGGTGCCTACGCAAGCTGACGACACTGTTCAAGCTTTTAGCTCGTAAGTCATGCCCGATGCCATTGTTGCCAAGACGGGTAGGTTTGGCAGCGAAAGCCTTGCGCCCATGTCGAGGCGGAGACAAGAAGCTGCTCTTCTTGAACATCCAGCAGCAGACCCGCAAGATCCAATCAGAGCACCTCCTTTGAAATACGAAACTTCGAGACAGAGAGAGAGAGAGACAGAGACAGAGAGAGAGCGAGAGAGAGACAGAGAGAGCTGGACCCGTACCCCTAGCAAGCAGGCAAGGAAGGAGAGAAAAAGAGAGTGAGTTGGGCGGGCCTAGGCCTGATCCCGACACGCCCCGCAGACAGAAAGAGAGAGAAGAGAGAGTGTTATTTCTTCAGAAAGGAGAGAACTTTTCTCTCCGAGGCTGCGAGGCTTTGCCACCGGCGCCTCCTTCAGCCGTGCCGCGACCATGGCTGCCAACGACGCGCTCGACAAGTTTGCAGAAGATGGCCCCTTGGCCCGTTTTAGGAGAACTCAAAATCGTTTTGCCGGGTCTCCGTTATGAGACTCGGGCTCACGGCATTCACGGGCCTTCAACCTGCCCGCCTTGCAGGACACAGAGTCTGTCGGAATGGTTTCGGGATGGTTGGATGTGTTCCAAGATCTTGAACTTTCTTTGGCGGTCACGACCTCGCCAGATCAGGAGTGCCGGGAATCTTTCACCTGTGCTGGTTGCTGGTTGGGCAGAGTCTTAGAAACAAGAAAAACTCAATGCCAAGCGCCCGAACACAGTGGCGCTCCAGCGAAAGTTATTTTTGATCTCGTGTCAGTACTCTTCTCGCCGCGGAGTTTGGCATCGCTGCTTAGCTGTCTGCTCTTGCTGTTGCTACCACGCCACTGTCGTTGCCACCACCTGTTGTCACCTGGTAAACTGGGCCAAGCCCAGGTGCCTCCTCGCTGGAAGATGCCAACAGCAGCAAACACGTCTTTGCCGCATTCGACAGCTTGGTGGCTTTGAAGGACAAGCTGCAGCCGCTTGGCCAGTAAGGGCCGGAGGCGGGTACACAACTGTAAGAAGTCAGACGCCTTCCTCCTAGGAAGTCTGTGTGGGTTTGATTCAATTTTAGACGGGGTCGGGTTTCTTCAGCGGCCCTAAGCCCCAATTGCAATCAGTTGTGGCCCAGGTCTGTGTGAACAGAACGAGGGCTGCAGGGAAAGTTGCAAACTCGACTTGACACAGTTCTGATCCAGAACAAGTCTGCACGAGCGTACGACTGCGTACGCACACGACGAGGTGGGAATCCGTGCTTTGGGAGGGCAAAGGACATGCGTACCTTTCCCTCACAAGCCCGAAAGATGAGGCACAAACTCGTTGACGTACAAGCAAGATCCGAAGCCCAATGCTAGGCGCTAACCACTAACACTGCTGCACCAATGTCGGCTCCACTGCCACAGCCAACACCACTTCGCCCGCAGCCAGTACCCTCTGCACCAGTCAACAACTCAAAAAGACACCCCTGAAATCCGTTAGCCCAGGAGTGCTTCAGATCAGCGAGAGAAGGTGGACTACGTGGCAATGCCGCGAAGCCACATTCTGGAAGTTCACGGAGGTTCAGGGCATTTTTCTTCCTTCTCCAGGGTTCTGGTACGGGTGCATTGAAAGCATCTCCAAAGCCGGATTTGGGAGCTCACACGCGTGCCCAATGCTGCACGGATTGACATGTTCCATCTTGTTGAGTACCCTGCCTCGCGACTCGTTCAGCAATGCAGGGAGGCCAGCACGAAATCCTCCATGCTCAAAGGCTGATGACCCTAAACCCTAAATGTCGGACACTTATCGCCATGCCTGCTTTTGCGAGTGTGTGAGTCGAAACCCTAAACTTCGAGGTGTCGTGAAACTACCCGAAGCCGTTCTGCTGGCTGCCGCATGCTGACTTCTCATCGCGAGCGTACACTAACTCGTCTCGAGCGCACACTGAGCCCTTACAGCGCATGTCATGGAGTAAGGCCCCAACGACGGGTGGGAAAAGAACCCTGAAGAGACTTTGAAGACTCCCAAAACGCTTGAATCCCTACACATGGAACAAGCCTTTGAATCCCTGCAACCAACACGAAGCCATGCGCCTAGCATCCCGCCTCCGAGGTCGGCAGTCCGCATGGCTCGTCAGATGCTGCCCGGAGCAGTGGGTATTTACGGGGTTTGGTCAAGTGGCATCCTTGTGGAGTTTCATGGTCATGGGATTTCTCGCGTCCGATTCTTCACAGGCTTGGTCATGCCTGGATTGGTCCACATTATGTGTTCTATGAATTCCTGCCAGCATATACCTTCAACTATTGCCCCACCTGAAACCTTTCTTTCATTTTCCCCTTCAGACGTGATCGCTGGTATGTGCACTGTACAGCTTGAGCAACAAGGCAAGAGCAGCTGAAGCTGCAACGGCAGACGCTGGGAATCTACCGCCGGCAGCTTGACTAGATGTATGTAGAATTTGGGGCATCTTCAACTCATAACTAAAACCTTTGGCGCCAGAGGCTCTGCTTGAAAGCCATGTCGCAAGCCTATGAGCTTCAAGTATGGCTTCAGAGCTTCGTCAGCTTCGTGGCTTTGGGTCAAGCTTGCCGAACCACATTGCATCTATTGTTAGAGGTTATAAAAAAAGAGAAGCTGATCAAGCTGATCACGACACAAAACGTCAGACAACGGGGACGTAGTTGGAATTGCTCTACGGCTACGCAGTGAACACTGTACCGGGCTCTTCTCCAGGTCATTGCATCCGAACTGAAATTTCAAGATGCATTGGCATATGGCCTACGGCTTTGGGGCCGGGCAGTTTCAATGATGCTACAGACTTGGCAAAGACCCATGTGCGGCAGAAGTCGCATTGGCTCATTCCGTCTTGCTGTGGTAAAAGGAACCCTAGGATAGAACACACAAGATGGTCGGAATGCTGTGGCGTTGGCGTGCAAAGCTGCCAGCATAGGGTTCTGCTTTTGTCACACTTCGAAAGGGGAAGGATTAAACGAAATCTCAACTGCGGGGAACGTCCAGACTGCGCAGTGGATGGGCAATACCCCGGCGCCTCAAAGCCTAAACAACGACTGCACGGACCGCAAAGTCTTGCGTCGGACCCGGAACCGTGTTCAAAGTCCCGAAACCTTGTCACTGAGGAGGAGCAATGCCACGCGTGAGATGGCTCGACAGAGGCCCTTCCCCCTCCCCGGAGACACAGAAGGGCTTGATCAAGCTTTGCACTGGGCTTGCTGAAGGATTGCTTTTCATGAGGATTCGTATGGGGATTGTCTTTCGCAGCAGTGTCCTGATAAGGCAGGACCCATCAACCCCAGCACCAAGAAAACAACTTACGGTCCTCGCAGTGGCAGGGGTAGCAGCTATCTTGGTCTTTCCGTGGTTGTACAGAGCCTTGGGTCCGCAGAATCCCACCGGCCCACCCGTTTCGCGCCGAGATTGGTGCGGGGGAGCGAGCCAGATTCGGGCATTGCGCTTTTTGAAAGGGGCTCACAGACGTAGCTCAACAAGCTCGCCAGCTACACAAACTCGAGGCTTTGGGTGGTGGGTGTGAGGACGCCCCTGCATGAGCGTAAAGCAGGATGAAACTTAGACTGCAGGCACATGACACATGTGTCTATCTCGACCACCGCCTTTGTAGTCCATCCCTTCTAAGGTCTACGTAGTTGGTATCCTGCGGTGGTCGTCGTTCTCTGTGCGTGGTCGTCGTGGTTATCGCTTCTCCAGCGCAGAGGAAGGGAAGGAGGAGCAGGAGGAGCAGTGGCAGTTGTGGCTGCAAGTAGAAGCGGTCGGCGGTCGTCGTCGTGGTAGTTGTTATAGTAGTCGTAGTAGTAGTAATAGTAGTAGTAGTAGTAGTAGTAGTAGTAATAGTAGTAGTAGTAGTAGTAGCAGCCGGAGTAGTAGTAGTAGTAGTAGTAGTAGCAGCAGCAGTAGTCGCAGTGGTAGTAGCAGTGGTAGCAGTAGTAGTGGTAGTAGTAGTAGTGGTAGTAGTAGTGGTAGTGTTAGTAGTAGTGTTAGTAGTAGTAGTAGTAGTAGTAGTAGTAGAAGTAGTACCAGTCAGTGGTGCTAGTGGACATGACTTTTCAAGACTTTCCTTCGGCTTTACGCCAAACAAAGTGTCAGATCTTGCAGCTGCTAATCCGAAAGACAACGACCACAGTAACTTGTGTCGATCGTTGTTGCTGTTGTTGGTTGTTGCTGGTGTGGCAACTCGCCGTGACGGTGGTGGCGGTGGTGGTCAAGAGTAGAAGAAGCGTAGCAGGAATCGTGGAAGCCAGAGCAGCAGTAGTAGCCGTGGCGGTGGTGGTGTTAGTAGGAGTAATTAGTAGCCGACATGGCTGCTGATGATAGATTGAACGAACAAGCAGGGGAGCTGCCGTCGCCTCAATGGCAGCCGAGCGCCACGCAATGCTTCTGGACTTGGACCGCCAGCGGCTTACACAGCTCGTGTTGTAGCGGCTCAGGGAGGACTTACGAAGGACAACTTTCGAAAAGGTTGGCGAAAAAAACACAAATCAGGCCACTCCTGCACCTGCGATGAAACTCCACTCTTGTCCTTGTGCTTAAGCTTGTGGTGTCCGCAGGGTATCCGGGAGTTGTTCTTGCAGATAGAGGGTGGGTGTGACCATTCTTTGTTACTGAGTAGCAAATAGCAGCCACGGGCATTGGTGTGGGTTGTGTCTTATTCCCCAGCCTCCATGAGCCCTAGGGCGCTCATTTGAGGCTTCACACATCCCAAACTGTTTAGACTGCACGTGCTACATACCTATGCCTTAAACATACAGGCTCCAAGCCGTGCACCCCAACCCAAGTTCTACACCTTCAGATGGCTCCTAACCCTACACCCTCCAAGCTGCATCAGGTGTTTGGTGGAAGATTCGCAATGTACTGGACGACTACATGGAAGACGCGGGGGTCGAGATCGACAGCAGCTTAACAGCATCCATGAGATGCGACGATATGAAGCCAGCTTATTCCTGCAAGCAAGGGAACCGAAGCCTAGCTGCAGGCGTTCTTGTGGTTACATAGGAAAAAGAACTACAGTCCGAAGCAGAGATGTTTCATGGTGTTGATACCGTACCTTCCCACCCACGATCATGACAAGATGCTATGGTGGTGCTCGTGTTGCTGGTCGCACGATCGTAGTACTGGCGATGAGTGCGAAGTACTTGCAACGTGAAGCCCGCGATGCGAATTGACAAAGAGTCATCCTGTCCCTCGAATGATCAGTGCTTACCCCGCCCAGCCCATCGGCTTCTTGTCCACACGTTTGAGACTGACGAGCCCCACATCACGGCATGATGCAAGATATATGGCGCAAGGCTACGAGGCCGGGTCACGCGCGCTGTCGCAGTACGAGCAATGCGGCTTGGCTTCATGTTATGGGGGTTGGGGCCAAGGCCATTGCCCTGCCTCTGCCACTCAGAACACTTTTGCTGCCTCTGCTGCCCTGGTGCTCCGACTTTCTGCGATCACGCAAGCCGAGCCAAGCCCCCACAGTAAGATTCTGAATCGCATCGCTAAGATTTCACACCGTTGCTTCTCTTTCCATACCTTGGGAGCTCCTTTGCTGGGAACAATAGCAGCAACACGTCGAGAGCCTCGAAACATTCCGGGCACGTTGCAGGCGCCATGGACTTCACCAGCCTGCTGTCCATCTACAAGCAGACCATGGCGACGACGGATCGGGCTCACAGGTGGGGTGTTTCATAGTCAGGTTCCATACAAATCTGAAAGGATTGCGCCGTGAGAGAATCTGCAACAGATGACGTTTACAGCACACTCTGTAGAGATCGGCAGAAGGGGTAAGACCGACAGGGTTCTGCTCTAGAAGACGGGAGATGGAACTCAGTTCTGCCACGTTATCTGAGTACCACAACTGGGCCACTCACGCTTAAGGTTGAAGATAGTAGCAGGACAGCGAAATTACGTCAGAAGGCTTGCTTCATGAGACTCACGCATCTCCTGCGTGAAAGGCTAGAGAAGCTTGACATGCAGGGCAGCCGACGGTCAGAGCGCATAGTTATGGGAGTTTCCGAAAATTGGGGGTACCTTATTTTGGGGTCCTTAAAATGGAGATCCTACTATTTGGGGTACTATATTAGGGTCCCCTATTTTCGGAAACCCCCATATGGATGCATGACCTGGCTACACGGAACGGCACTCTGATAAGAAGCAGCCCGGGCGAACCCAACAAAGACATCATGTCGGCAGACGGATCCACGAGACGGACTTACGTCGGATAGTGCATGTTGTAGTGGAAGCCACGTGCAGGAACATGGGGGCAGTAGTAGCAGCAGGAGGCGCTCCTCTGAAAATCTAAGTCCATTGTTGAAGCCCCAAAAACTGAGAAACTGGAACAATGCCTCTTGCCTCTACTTTGACGTCTTTGAGGTCCTTGAAGAAGGCTTGGCGACACGTCTCCAACCTGCTTGGCCACTCGAAAAGCAAACAAGGGATCTACATCACTAGGGATGAGGTTTTAGAATGTTCTAGAGTTCATGATACAGCAAAGTACAACACATTATGGTATATTGTAGTATGTACATTCTAGTATGTCATAGTATATGAGGTTGGTGGAAAGGACCTTGCTTAAGGAGTGCTGGTGGATATGCTTGCGCCGCTCTTCAAGGTTGTGAAGACGAGAGGTGCAAATGTCGGATGTAAGGAGTTGGGCTGTAGACACCCTAAACCCTAAACTTTCCTAAACCCTACAGTCTCAGTGATTCCCGGATCCTGTCCCGGTCAGCCCTAAACTAAACCCCTAACCCCTGAAGCCCTTTGAAGTTTGACCCCTTGTGGCGCATGCGCGGTGTGGATACATTTAAATGGCATCTAGCATCCAGACCACGGGCATTCATCACATGATGTGTAGATGCTAGATGCTCGGGACCTCAACTCTTGAAGCAGAGTTTGAAGAGATAACATAAGGTTTGTGCAACACCTTAGCAGGGCAAACGGCATCGCCCTAAAAACCCGAAACGTTGGAAGCAGTCTCCAAGCCCTTGCTTTGCCGAGGCGAGCTTGCTTCGCACCTGGAGGATGGCGAGGCTTTTATGACCTTCCTGCAACAAGAAGGCCTGCAGGGCCAAGGAGCTAGAACAAGACTGGTTGAAGGGGTGCACACTGGGATCTTCAACCATAGTAGCAGTAACAATCATGAAACTCATCGCCGGCAGCACAGCCTTCCTTCACAACAGCCCTTGTCTCCTGGGCAGGCTGCCAGTCTCCATTAGCCTTCCAGACGCTCGAGCAAGCTCGCGACGCCACAAGTGGTATGAGGACCACAGGTTTAGTTTGATCAACATTCCCGGACATGCTGGGGCCCTTTGATGCTGCAAAATGTTGCGAAGGCTTTTGGAGCTCCTGTTGCTGCTTTGGCGGTTTGGAGTCTCATGGGTGAGGACTTCAGGTTTACTGCCAGAGATGCTAGGGTATCCTTGGATTGAACGTTTTGGATTTTTTGCATCGCCTTCAGAACGTTAGCAATGAGGAACCTGTTCATTCTTCGCACGGGGGAATCATGCGCAGGCTTTGGGACATCACCGGCTCTAATGACGAGTAGCAACTGCCGCTCCTGTTATTGAGAACTGAAGTGCTGCAGTTTTGATTCATGTTGTTTCGGCTTCAAAAGCTTAATCTGGCATTGTGGCCGCAGCCCATGATCAATGAAGAAGGGATGTTCATCTAAGCACGGGTGATGCCACATGGGGGAAAGCATGAAGCCCGAGTGTAGTGATTTGATACAATGCTGCTAGGATAGGGAGCAGGCCCTAGGAGTGCTAGTAGTTGCAGCAGCACCTGCAGCAAAAGCGTGAAGTATCAGCAGCAGTTAAAAGCAACGGGTGCAGTTGTCTTGCAGATGCCGAGGATGATTAGCTGTCATTCGTGTTTCCCGCTTCGCTAAAACAATTCAATGGGACCCTAGAATTTGGTCCCTTTTGTTTGGCTTCATGCCCTGCACTGCACAACCCTTATGCTGTCAATTTCGGCGCCGTCGCTTCTGCAACTTTTGAAGGTAAACAAGCAATGTCATCCACTGGCCTGCAGAGCTAGATTAGCTTACAGCGGCTTTTCTTCGTCATATTTCACAAACTTAAGGGTGACCATGAATCCAACACATTGAAGCCGTGAACCCTGTCCTGTGCTTGAAAAGCGACAGAAAGAAAGTTCGTGGTTGTGCGAGGATGTTGTACCACCGGTTTGCAGTATCCGGACTACCCACTCCAAGTGTCGAGCTGATGGGGAGCACGGCTCCTTTTACGCACCAAAGTGTGTTTGTGCAATCGGGGTTTATGATTCTGGTTGCTGCAGCAATGAATCATCGTAGCAATGCTGCTTGTGTAAGTTGAAGTGTGTAGGCACATCAGTTTCTCTTCTTGTGCTACTCCACCGACATAACATGCGGGGTGGCAAGTGCGTTGAGCTGGACGACCGTTGTGGAAGTGGGAAGTGGTAACCCAAGCCATCTTGGGTAGGCCGCAAATCCTTTCGTCAGGGCTCTCGCCTCTTTGACGACAGCCTGTGTTTGCCGCCGTTATGGCAATTGCAGCAAATCGTGGCATGCAATCTGCTGTCTGATCACACCGACTTTGTGTGTGCAGTGCGATTCACCATCGTATCCTCGAAGCGGCAACTGGAGTCAGAGATCACCAGAGGTTCGATAGTTTGGGTCTCTTCTACCAGGGTGGCTGAAGAATCTGCATTGCCAGTATGGTAATTAAACGCTCGGTTTGTGTGTAAGCGCGAAGCACGGCAAAGCACGAAGCCTTCTCCAAGAAAGGAACGAGCCTTGTCGCGCTTGTCGCTGTCAGGTCAGCCGAATCAAGGGCAGCTGGGCTTCTGCGCAGCAGGCCATCTGCAACAACAAAGGCACGGGACCCAGCATCGAGCGGCGGCTGAGGGTTGAAACCGAGAATGAGGGTCTCGAGGGTTTTGACAAGTTCACACTTGTGGCAGGACACCTGCTTGTGCAACCTATTGTCATGATTTAAGACATGTTGTTGAACCCACGATGTACCTATGTGCCCTGGGAGCACCAGTCAGGTTGTCCGTTGAAACAATCCGTCGAGTGTCAAGGCACCAGCCCCCGACACTGCCCACGTGCTTTGTTGTTCCAACTTGATGGAGGCACTAAGCAGCGCAATGACGAAGTTCATGTTCGTTGCTACTGTTCTCGCAAGGTCAGCTGCCTGACTGGTACATGCAGCTGGAGTAGAAAGTAAAAGTGATAGGGCAACCTGAGGATGACACAAAAGATATGCGCGCATGGGCCACGGGTCTTGGGAGTTTCAGCGCACCGCTTTTCTTCGTCGCTGGAAATTATATTTATCTATATATGCTAAATTATTATCAGAAATTGGTTATGGTCAAGAGGTCATAAATTCCGGAATAAGATTATTTACGGATATTGGATTCTAGATTTAGTGATTTCTCACAAGAGAGATTAGATAAAAATATTTTTGTCGAAGAGATATCGAATACGATTTCGTATTTCGAGAAAACGATTAAGATTTGTATTTAAGTTCTTGCTGACCGCCATGCCGTCTAATGGCCTCCTGGACTTCTGGCTCCCCGAAGATCGCCAGCCAACCTCCTGGACGCTCTCGCCGCACCCCGCCACGTCCCCGCTTGGGCACGCCAACGCCATCGACCAGCCAAAACATCGTCTCCGAGGCGTGTGCATCCTGCTTTCCGCGTCCCGGGCGCTGTCCCATGCTACGCTTTACAGTCCGAACTACTCACGAAGCAGTCCCTATCCCTCTGCAGATTTCCGAGTCCTCCTCCTGCGGCGCCTGCGCTTAACGGTGCCGCTCGCACCCTGACTCTGTGCCTGCCGTGGTCTCCTAAACCCGCTCGGCCACCGAGCCGCTTGTGCGACCTCCGGTGCCCTTGCCTCCCGCGGCCGATTGCTTAAGGATATTTGAGGATTGAACCTTCGACGGACAACGTGAAAGACCTCGCCTCGAAAATCGATTGTGTTGGACACGTTTTGCAAGGACATGTCCGGTGGGCAATACAGCTGA